TGTTGACAATTTGTCCTTGTTCTTATGTGCAGTGTCCATGTACCAATGTTGACAATTTGTCCTTGTTCTTATGTGCAGTGTCCATGTACCAATGTTGACAATTTGTCCTTGTTCTTATGTGCAGTGTCCATGTACCAATGTTGACAATTTGTCCTTGTTCTTATGTGCAGTGTCCATGTACCAATGAGGACAATTTGTCCCTGTACTTATGTGCAGTGTCCATGTTGCAATGAGGACAGTGTCCATGTACCAATGGGTACAGTGTCCATGTACAAATGAGGCCAGTGTCCATGTACCAATGTGGACAGTGTCCATTTACCAATGAGTACAGTGTCCATGTACCAATGAGGTACATTGGTACAATTTGGCCTTGTACTTATGTGTAGTGTCAATGTACCAATGAGGAAAGTTTTCATGTACCAAGGAGGACAGTGTCCATGTACCAATGAGGTACATTGGTACAATTTGTCCTCGTACTTATGTGCAGTATCTGCTAGAAGGAAATGAACTTATATTGGACAATGTCCTTTACCCATATGGACAGTGTCCATGTACCAATGAGGGCAGTGTCCATGTACCAATGAGGACAATTTGTCCCTGTACTTATGTGCAGTGTCCATGTTGCAATGAGGACAGTGTCCATGTACAAATGTGGACAGTGTCCATGTACCAATGTAGAAAGGTGTCCATGTACAAATGTGGACAGTGTCCATGTACCAATGAGGCCAGTGTCCATGTACCAATGTGGACATTTTGTCCTTGTACTTATGTGCAGGGTCCATGTATTGTTAGGACAGTGTCCATGTATTGTTAGGACAGTGTCTAAACCAAGTACATCAGCTTTGTCCCTGACAGCTTTCATATTATCCAGTGTTTAATTTTGATATATGAGAATGTCTTCAAAAAGTTTCGTTAAAGTAAAAACGATTCTGTCATTCACTTTTAAAGGCTCCAGTATAAGGCTGTTTGCTATCAGGTCTCCCCCTGGTGCGACCAATCAGCTTTATCTACTTCGGTCATTACAGATCACTTCTACAGGGAAGACTCCATTTAAAGTTAAATAACATTGGAACTCTACACGTTTCACATACATGTACTAAGAGTAGGTTTATTACAATATGACATGTGAACCTTGCCCATTCAGCTTGAGTGTTTCAGTTCGGGATGACAATTATGCCTCTTATATATTGGACACTGCTGAGTTAGTAATCATAACCTTAACAGTTCTCTGCTATATGGTAGCTCACTTTTAACATTTAATAACTCCATCTACCGCATAAAGTATGTCAAATTCACATAAAAATTGGTACAATTCAAAATTAAAATCATGAAAATACAGAATATTGCTCAAATACTGAATAATATATTTCTGTTAAATTTGTTTAAAGTGGAATAAAATATGATGAGAAAAATATATCATTATTGCTACCTTGACCCAATGTGCCTGTTTTTTTCTGTGTCAGTGAGATTGTGTAACAAACGGAATGCTTATTAACATATATTCATATAAACAAAATTAAGGACAGTATGACACTACAGCGTAATCCATTAAGAGAATATCCACTTACACAATTAACAAGTGGTAGATACACTGCCTCAATTGATAATGAGACACTTAAAAAATCCAACCACTTATATGGCTGAGATACTATAGCTGACGAGCAATTGACGTTATGTCACATCGCTGGCTAGATTTGTGGCATTCACAAAAATGCATGGGAAAATTTTTAGTTCAGATTTTTCACCATCTTTTTCTCCACATTTGCATGAGTCATATGTATCATTACAGGGCAATATTTCAAAACTATTTGGATCCCAGCAACATATATTTGTTTTTGAAAATACAAATTTGTTTTATTGTACATTGAAATACTTGTTCATGATCATGAGATTAGTTTATTCATGAAAAAGGCTGTTATATCCCCATGGTAAGTGTTCATCAGAATAACATATTCCATGTGTCTATCTGACTAACACAGAGTCAACTATAATCATATATAACCCCCGCCTCATTTGCTGATGGAAGTGTTGAATACCATAAAAAGCAACAGGCGTTTACATCACAGGGTTTTAATACAGATATTAAATAGACATATACATTTTTTTTAACTTGCCATGTCTGTCAGCTAATTGATAAAATCAATTGAAGAGCATATCGCTCAAAAATGATTCCAATGAAATCCCCTGTCTGAACCAAAACAGGAAACATGATGAAAGATTCAGGTACTCTATAGAGAAACATGTCTTCTCCATCCAACAGGCCCTTTGTATCACTCCAGTACATCAGATCCGAGCTAACTATACCCCGTAACTTTATAAACTACATTTGTTGCAGTCTGCCATCTTCAAGTACTTCTTAGTAACAATACTTTATTCTCAATTGATGTGGAAATATACTTCAAAATGAAATTTAGTACTTGGTTTCCGACAAGGCTTAAGAGGTTGATTTTCTTTTCATTTTATTTATAAAAAGAGTTATGCAACAGGCAACCCGGTTAAAAGCAGGGCCTCATCACATTCTTTGATCTGATAACATGTCTTTAATTAATGGTCCCAGACAGGAAAATAGGAACAAATTTACGAAGTTAATATCATAAAGTGGTTCCACCTTGATGGCGAAGTCAAGGAAGCTACAGCTCATGGTTTTGTGGTATCACAAGTAACAGGTGGAAAGACTTGGAGTGAATTTCAAGGATGCTTTTATATAGCTGATGACGCAAGACTTTTTATATTGAATAGCTAGCTGTCAGCCAGTACGAAAACATAAAAACAACTGAATAAGGGTTCACACATGAACTCGAGCTAGGAAATAAAAGCTATCTAGAAGCATAACCACTTACATGTACAAGTCAAAGACTGAAGCGAACAAGTAAAATAAGATAAAAAAAAACATTTTTACTCCAGCAATTGAAATGTTTATCAAATGTAAAAACAAATGTTATATTAATGCCTGTACACTTTCAGGCAAGGTAAAACCAGTGAATCCTTGAATATGAAAGTAGGCACATTACATACCACAGAAGAAACTATACTTTTGTTTACAGCTTGTTGATATGGGATTTTGAAGTGCATCCAAATGCAACGGGATTGCCTCATAATACCACACTGCTCTAGCATATTATCCATTTCTATTGCTTTACAACAAGATATACTGAAAATTAACAAGACCTTTAACTTCCAAGGGGTATGACATCTGAAACTTTAATCCTACCCAACATGGCAGTTATCAGATGTATCACACACACAGGTCACGTCTAACAAATAGGTTATTGCTCCACTTTTATCACACTTAGTCTAAATTGGCTGTTAATGTTCCATATTGTTCTTATTACCGGCCCTGAGTGTCCTAATTATAGCCCTCGGGGAGTAATCTTAACAAACGAGCCCTTTGACACTGAATCTGAACATAAAAAAAATCACATCTGCAGAATTCTTTCATCGAGCCCTTTGACACTGAATCTGAACATAAAAAAAATCACATCTGCAGAATTCTTTCATCGTTGCAGTGACAATATAAACAGTCCACACAATGTATTTTAAGAAAATTAAAACCAGTACGGAAATGTTTTTATCTGACTGGAAAGTCATGACATTATGCATTACCATTGGGTAACTGTGGTATAGCAGCAATAAAACGCTATATATCTCAATGTTGTGGGACTTCAAACAAACTTCTTACTCTACGCTGTAACACGGGATCTCTTCAAAGGACAGACATTGAAAAGGGATAGCTTATATATTACTGATACTAAGCTCCATCAATCAAGCAGCTCTCTTCAACTAAATTGACATTTTCAGCAAAAAAAGAATTGACCTAGCTAGCTAGCTTGGTTGGGACCAGAATAAACCTGTTCCCTATATATAAAACCACAGTATAATCGTAATCGTAATCTGACCTGAACACCATCGAAGATAACCCTTGGGGACAGTGTGTGTTCTTCCAATTTAAATCATTAAAAATTTAGATTTACTTACAAATGAATCCCATTGACTGACAGATACACTAAACCTATCTAATCTAACCCCTGAGAATTATGAAATTTGTATAATACAACATAATATTGAAATCCTTATACAAATAAAACCCCTGCATATTCTGACATCATATTTAATGAATCATCATCATGTTGTAATTCCATTTGTTGTGAAAACTACTGAATAGGACCTGTGTATTTTGACATCCTCTCCAATCTGACAAATATGGCAGGCCCCAAAGGTAGTCAGATTAGACAGGTTAATCTAACCAATATATTGTGTCCCAAATCATCAGATAAGACAGGTTTCTCTGACCAATGTCAGTTCCGTAGGGTGTCAGATTAGACAGGTTTCTCTATACATATATCCACATCTCCCTCCTTTCTCTCTTACAACTTTCTTGGTAAACTTAACCTCTTAATGTATTTGTAAAATTATCACAAACTCTTTGCACTCAAACCTGTTATTCAACTTTTGAAGTAAAATGATAATATTTCATATTTTTCCATAAAAGAATGCAATAACATTTTTTTCCAGATCAATGAAATCAGAAAATCTACTAGCTTATATAATGTATTATTAAATTTCCTTTCACCTAGAATTTTTCGGAAACGAATTTCAACAGCTTTCATTCATTTAAACCCCTTATCATGTCATCTGTGTATGGGTTTACGCTTAACAGATTTGGCAGAAATCTTGGTCTCGGTGTGTAAGGCGAGTGCGGTAAGTTAAAAAAGATTATTAAACCAGTGGAAATCCAATATAATAAACCTATTCTAATTGTGTAAAAAAATGTAAAAAGAAATAGAAAGTATATCTAAGTTAAGTGGAAAAATGAATGATATTGATCCTAAACATTATATCAACTGTTTACACCCTGAACCTTGTAAACATGTGTTTGTATTAAGGGTATAGGTCTGAATGCAACTGGACACACCTGTGTACAGGTTGTTTAGCAGGCCACCCTATCTGATAACACTCTACACTGGCCACTAGATTATATACACTCGATAATCCTTACTTACCACTGAGACAGGGAGAGTCTTGTACAGAGCCTGTCATCGTCCATGTAAAAGGCCAGTATCCATGTTATGTCCAGTCCCAGGCAAGTCTGACCAACCCTCCATGGTGTTGTATTCCACACTGTCCAGTAGTCGGTGACCGTTAACCTCACCTGTCCTGTACAGGGATCGGCTGTAGTGGTCCTACATGTCTCTCAGGCTATAGCTATACCCCTTTAATAATTAACAACAACAGGTCAGTGTGTCACAGCCAACCTCTAGGGTGTATTAACACCAGGGTCACCACTGGACAATGGTCACTCCAGGTCAGGTGTTGGTCATGCTTACACCAGATTGGGATCACTGGACACACTAGTCCCTCCTGATGCTGGTGTCTCCCTTCTAGGGCCTGTGTGGTTTATAGCCTGTGCTCCCTCCTATACACGTGGGGCAGCAGCCTACAGTATCAATGGTGTACCACAGGCAGGAGGAGGAACGCCACTAACCAAACACACATTAACCACTAGGCCCAAACCTCAACCCATGGTTGACTGACTTTGATAACAAAAATTTGGCTAGGACCTCCATTATTGATATTTACACCAGGTGCTGCCTGTGTTCAGGCGGTGTTCAGAATGGCTGTCAGACCAACTTGTTCTCATAATTACTACACTTTTACACATATAGAACCTCTTATAATTTTACTATACTAGCAATTTACAGCCACATAATCACTGGACTGTGATTATCAAAGACTGTTGAGGGTAGGCAATATAGAGCAAAATGCAAAAAAAAAGGACTCAAAATTTTCCAATTACCAATAATCTCCCATTATATAGATATCAAAGTTTTTATTGATAACAGTAGATATTTGATAGATTACCTGTCAACTGTGAACGGTAAATTAAGCCATCAAGGAGTGTGGTCTCATCACGTCAGAAATCAATCCTAGGTATTTCGTTGCCCTCCATTGTGACTACCTGAAAAATAGGATAAAAGATTAAATCTTAATAAACCTTCTGTCAGTTCATTCTTTATACAAAAAGTTGTATAACTATAGTTACTACTATGTACTACTATTGTGGTTTGATATCAATGATTGGTTTGGTTTGTTTGTGTTCTACGTCCTATTAACAGCTGTNTTTTACGTCCTATTAACAGCTATGGTCATTTAAGGACGTGTCAGGGTTTGGTGGTGGAGGNTTTAAGGACATGTCAGGTTTTGGTGGTGGAGGAAAGCCGGAGTTCCCGGCAAAAAAACACCCACCTACGGCCAGTACCTAGCGACTTTGTACTGGCAACTGCTCCACGTGTACGTGGGTCTCGAACCCCCAACCAAGTGGTCGAGGGCTAGTGGTAGCAGAATGTCAGACGCCTTAACCACTTGACCACCACGGCCCCCAATATCAATGATAATGGTGATTCCATAAAAATATTGTTGATATGGCGTCATCTAATTCCTAACTGTTTTGATATTATTTCCATGTTACGAAGAGAAATTGGCAATATATCTTCAAAACTATGAAGAAATTGTTAAAATACTAATGTGCAGGGCCCTTTATAATTAGCACAAATAATACCTTGAAAGTAATGAAAACTAACATACATGCTAACACTTTCATACACAAAACATTACCTCACCAACCCAGAAACTGTTCTTTGATTCTCAGCAATTTGGCAAGTGCCAATTGAACTTTTAATTAGGTGTTAAATTGTTTTTAAACAGTATGAGGATATCGTAGGTGGGTGACCTAACAAAAACTTAAAGTGCCAAAATCACTGTTTGTTTTTTTCTTTTCTGTTTGTACATTGTACCTGGAATTTTCAAAGTTACTACATAATATCCAACAAGTCCGGAGGTTTTCCCAGCTCTTGATGTTAAACGATGTTTAGTTTTTTTTAAGTAAAATGATGTCAAGATCAGAAGATTTTGAAATTTGATTCTATCTGTTTAAGAGTAATTGGTACCCTTGGATCTGCTATGGTCAATAGTAGAACTAAAATGTATGGATAGAAAACAAATAAACTCATACAAGAAAACTTCCATTCACAGACCATTATGACTTTTTTCTCAAACGTTTGTAAATAAGTGTAAAAACTCTGAAGAAAAGTTGAAGTTGTAGTTCTTTATATAGTCAATCAAATACAATTTAAAAGTCAAAGTCATTGCACGTTTTAAATGTACTGAAGGAGAGATATCTAAATAATGTCATCCAGAAAACATTTCACCCTGTCACAAAGTCATTTATATAAATGGATTTTTTTATGCAACAAACCATTAAACATAACATGTCACTTCTGAAATGAGTATAAATTGTTTTATGGACATTATAGGTTTCAAATACTTGTAAGATTTCAATCTATAACTGTCACCTGAAAGATATCGTCATTTTAAATACGCATATTTTAGTCCCAACTTGACAAAGTCTTCTGAACGCTGTAAGAGTTATTGATTTGATTTTGAAGCCACTTACAGTTTTCTATTTAACAAATAAGTGTGCTTAGTAATGGTCCAATAGTGACCTGGCCAGGTGAAGCCTAAAAGACGCATCACCTGTGGTTACAAAGGCTCAATGGGCCTGTCACAGTCCATCTGCTACATTTTAAACTTTTAATGAGTTTGACAAAATTAGGTGTTGGAACTACAGTGTATGGTGCTGCTTAGCTTGCTCATTATAATACAACATTTCTGTAAGTCAATTTTGTAACTATTTTGGTATTTTGTCATTAAATTTTTTCTTTTACCAATCACCGACTCGACAAAATATGAATGGACCGTTAATATTGTGTTTCACTTTGAGCAACTGCCGTATGACAACAGAGTGAAACTTGCCTCTGACATCACCTATATAGACCATCTGGTATAAAGACCACCTGCTGTCTATAAAGTCCAACTTGTCTATAAAGATCACCCCGTGTATACAAAGTCCACCTGTTCAAAAAGACCATCATGTGTTGTCTTAGTAATGAATGATCATGTCAAAAACAAAGCAATGCCATCGATAGTGCTTAATATTTGCTACTGCTATTTGGACGGTGAATGTAGTATAGAACACAATGTCATACCAATGGTGCTCTACCAGACCAAATTCTGCCCATGATAAATGTCCATGTTGTCGACAGATTATTGAATTGCTATACAAATTGATACTTCCTCTAAAATGTAGGCTACTAATCTTTATGATGAGCCAGCACAGTCTGCCAGGAGACCAACATCATCACTCCATTAAGCTGGAATCCTAAATTGAAAGATGAAAGCCCGATTTGTTAACCAGGGTCAGTAAGGGAGACAACCACGGTACAATCTGTCTACAGGTCTGATTAAAAATCCATCCCCGTCCATCTAACCAGACTACAATGTGCCAATTGTTTAATCACTGGTACCTGTGGATCGGAAAGTCACAGAACCCTGTTTTAATCCTACATATAGTTGTTTGCAGAATAGACAATGTAGTTGCTTTTATGATTTAACAACAAAATTTGTACAATTGTTACAATAATCAAAATCCTAAATACCCTTTGTCACATATTTATCAATTATGGACTTTTGTTGAGGTGAATATGTGGTATATGAACCTGAGAAAGTGATATTGACTGAGATGAAGTTGAGGTCAATAACAATTTTCAGATCCATAAAATGCATATATTCATATATGAAATTAATTAACACAAATCAAGGCTCAAATGAAAAGCCTGGATTTTGAATAAAAGGTCAAGGTTCACTGCTAAAATATTTCATTGCATGGTTAGTTCAAAAAGATAGACTTACCACATTCTACAAATAGAAATATAGAACCCCCTCCCCCTTTAACCATTTACATTAATTGGAGAAAATTGTCTAAACAGGCACAAAAAAGGAACAGAAAATTACAAAATATCTGATTTATCCAACCATGGTGAAGCTCTGTTAGAGTACCCTAAGGGTTATTGGTCACTCTGTATGAGTCAACAGGATCACATGAGGTTTGGAATCTTATAACAAAGCTCCCAGTCTTTATACAATCATATGATTGGAAAATTTCCGTAAAATTAGCCAGACATGAACTTTCACACAGGCGTAGTATCACTCACTGAAAAAACAATTGAATATAACAGCAGGCTAAATGGCTATAATAGTATAGAAGCATTTTGATATGGTCAGTGTATATAGGCAAGTCTGAACACTTTCGTCAAACCTAGTCAGCAATTCTCCAACACAAACAGCAGGGAATTGGATACATATGCGAATTATCTATTAAAGAAAGCCAAAGAAAAGTTGAGAGAAATTGAAAATTGGAGAGATAACAAATGTTCTGAATAACTGTGTCAAACAGATGGTTTTAATTTATTTACGTTGATAGGGAAAATCTTCAATAGTTTTTATGTGAGGTATAAAGTACATCACACCAAGCAAGTCGCCAATGTGGTGGTATGTTACGTCGGTAGGATAGAGGGCAGACATAAAATTGGCTGATACGTATCTACAGGAAATAATTGTCACCCTTCTCTAAATTCCGAACTAAAAGTTTATCTTCTATATGATCACTGATACGAATGTCTTTTTTTTTCCTGAATTTAAAAAAAACAACAATTTTACCTTTAACAAAAGATTTTTTAAACTCAAACATTTTCTGAACATCTTTTGCAAACAGTAGTCATGAAAACGATTTCCCATGAACAAAAATTATAACATTTATTTTCGGTTGATCTTCAAACTACCGGTATATTGATTTTCAAACCTAATATCTTTATATGAACTACACAAATAACATATATTTAACCGGAAAGATTTCAAACCTGAGAAATTTAATACCTATTAGGTCAATTGGTTTTCTTTAACGTGTACTTAAGCCTTAAATCAGAAAGTTAATTATTAGCTGTCCATTCCTATCTCAGAATTGTGAAACCTTATCAGTGTGTGATTGTTAAATCTGTATGGGAAAGTATGAGGCCAATATGTATTCATGACTGTTGGCAGCAGATCCAGAGGGGGTACAGGGCTCCAGGGAGCCTCCAAAGTCTGTCAATTTTCTTTTAAAAAAAACTTTTTCGTGGAATGATCTCAATTGATAGAGATTGTTTTGAATAAAAGATAGTTTATTAAAAAAATTAAGGGGCATGAATGTAACACAAACCACAGGTTACAATGTGTAAGGAAGACTATGGCTTAAGTTAAGGCAGCTAACACAAATGACAGGTATGTGTATGGTAGCATACAACCTTAACTCCTACACAAATAACTGGTTAATTACAATGTGTAAGGTATATCTTTGACTCTGTCACTGAGGAACGCAAACTAAATAATATTTTTTAACAGTTGCTTCCTAAAAAAAGAAGCTTCCACAATTATTATAGCCAGCATTCCAAATGATGCCTGCACATTCTTAAGAAATAATGCCTGCAATATGAGTGTTTGTAAGCTGATCGACAACCTTTGGCCAATATTTCATCAAGAAAACTGCTACAGGTAAAATTTACGCTGTCCAGGTGTTCATTTTTTTGAACCAGTGACATACGTTTGTGACCTTGACCTTGTAGTCAAAGAATTCAAGTGCAGTGCTTCCATCTGATATAATCCAATATTTGAAGAGCAGCAGAAAAGTGGGTCGGTAATCTATCATAGGAAACAAAGAAAACGAATATTATATAAAATGAGAAGTACCTTAAAAATGTTTTATGTTTCAAGTCAGGATGCAAATTTCAAATGATATGAAATTTAACCCTGTGAGATCATATAAGGAGAGAATAATAATTCCGTATGTAGGTATGAGATAATCAAAAAAACAAAATGTCTTTAACTAGGGCTTCACCTCCTCAGGGGTTCTACAGTAGACTTTTATCTATTTCATTGTATACCATGATTATCATACATTTTAAACATTTCTGTTTTTATTTTAAGCAATAAATTCCAGTTTTATACTTGTATCATTGTCATTCAGTGTATAATAAGCTGTTTCTATGGTTGTTTTATAGCTATATGTCAGTGTCTATACATTACGTC